CCATATGGCATACAAAGAAGTAAAGGAGCATTGCCAGCCTTAAGGAGCTTTCTAATTGGTTGACATAAACTAGACCAAAGATAGGAGAATTAAATTCTAGGTAAGTGTTCTAGAGGTGTGTTTCTTAAGGTTGGTCCTGGGACCAGCATGGGCATCACCCAGGGAGTTTTCAGAAAGGCAAATAATCAGGCACTCGAAACATACAAGTCTGTGTATGAGATGATCTGTATTTAACAAGCCCTCTAGGTGATTCCCATGCAGACAGTGGAGAACCTCTGGTAGAGACATAGTAGGACTATTTGAGCTTCTGAGGAAAGAGCTCTTGTTGCTGGAACAGTCACAGAAAACTTTCTGAAAGAAGTAGCACCTGATTTGGGAATTACATTATCCTTTTAGAGATATTCCATGTCTTTGGTTCCTCCACCCTGCCTCTCTTGGGTTTCATATTAAACTGATGTATAAACCACAGTACTCCCCAAAAGCATACCATGAATGAGAGGAGTATGCTGTGCCTACTTTATTGGCGATGAGCTTTGTAACTTTAGAGAAACATTTCCAATGGGCGAGAAACTATTATTTGGGAAATTCTTTTATTATTAATCAGAAGTAGTCTGGGATTTCTCTATCCCTAATCCACCTTGTAGGTGCTTATCACCCCAAAATTACAGACATAGTGATGGTCACCTTGGTTTCTCTGCTGGGTTCTCACTTTGACAAATCCTATTGTGAATGTTAACATCTGTTCTAAGAGTAGTTATGAAAAAGGACAAGAAATGCTTGAATTTAAATTAGTCCTTATTTTTATCTCCTGCTAAGTTTGCTCCATTTCTGTCATTTCCTTCCATGGGCTCTAATCAGAAGAGCTTTGAATGAATGTGTATTGGGAAGAATTAGGGAAGCCAGATACATGCAAAAGAGAGACCATGTATCAGTTGCCTGTCCCCCATAGGAGAGCGCCCATGATGAACATTTTTCTTCCCAGAACTGATCATGGATGGAGAGATGGGGAGTACATTAATGTCTGAAAGTTGCCAAGGGGTTTTAGCAGGACTTCCTGATCATACTTGGGGTCCAATGCAAAAATGAGCAAAGCTCATAATCCTAACACTAGATATTTAAATGGCATGTGAAAGTGATCACATGGAGGAGCAGATGAGCACTCACCCAAGTAAAATATTAGCGTATCAGTTTACAATTTGGGGAAAGGCCTGGGAAACAAGGACGTCTGGGATAGAAGCCAAAGAAATCTAGATGAAAGGATGTGCCTGGCAAGACTGCAGGAGAGAAAAGACTAGATTACACATGTCCTAACTGGGCCCCATTTTTGTGCTCAGTTCTGAAATGAGCTCTCTGAGTGCAGAAACAGATAACCCAGAGAGTTGGGAAGACCAACATCATGGACATCCGTAGAGGGTCTGGGTCAGTGAGGCTGGGCCCCTGAAGGACACTTGTATTCTGCTCAGTAGCAGGCCTGGGAAATGGATATGCCTGAATTTGAGGTTCTGTGTTTATTCAGTCTTGAGCATTCCTTTCCTCTGTGGGCAAGTTTGTCCATTTGAAAGCTCTCTCACATTTTGTAAATGTTTGCACTTTTCCATTTTGTTAGTTTTTTATATTCAAGCGATCTCCCCAGGGTGCCCCCTTGTTGGTCTTCCTTCCCCTGCCCCTTCTTGTGTCATCTCCTGGTTAACTGACCAGTGTTTTCACACCACTCCATAGCCAGGTAGATGAAAAGTGGTCTTGAATCATATCACCATCTGTACAAACTTCCTGTGGCTGCTGTAACAAATCACCACAAATTAGGTAGCTAGACAACTAGAAATTAATTTTCTACCAGTTCTGGAGGCCAGAGTCCAAGATCGAAGTGGCAGTAAGGCAGCACTGCCTCTAGTGGGAAGGGAAGAGGTCCTCTGCATCGTCCATCTTCTGGGGGTTCCAGGTGTTCCTTGGCTTGTGGTCACGGAACTCCAGTCTTCACTTCTTCTTTGCATGGCCTCCTTCTCTCTGTGTGTCACCTTCTTTGTATCACTTACAAGGATGCTTATCCTTAGGGCCCACCTTCTTCATTTCATCTCAAGATCTTTAACTTACTTATGTCTGCAAAGGTCCAGATAAGGTCACATTCACAGTTTACAGGGAATAGAACATGCTCATGTCCCTTGGGGGAGCCACTCTGCAATCCAGTACTCTCTTTTTCAGTGGTCCTTAAGCTTAAGGAACTATGAACTCCTTTGAAAATCTGATAAAATAGATGTAATTTCTCCATAATAAATACACAGGGGCCAATAAGTGCCTATTTTTATTTAAGATTTCAGAAGATTGAATGGTGACATCCAAAACTAACTACCATTTTTCTTTGGGATCTAGTTAATGTAAAATCAACCTGGATATTGCCTGTTTCATTCTTGGTAATATACAAAATGTAGTAATTAATGCATTCTAAGATCATCTTAAATATTTATGGTTTCTCTGAATTATTTACTTATATTAATCACATTATGTATGAAAACTCTTAAGCTGCCACATTATCATTATTTTTTTTGTTGTTGTTGTTATTTAACCTGAGTTGCATCAAGCATTATTGTTTCCTTTATTCAATACTTATGTAGTTGCCAGAGGGAGGACCTGACATCTCTCTCTGTGACTCCACATGTTATTCGATTCAGCCTCTCCCTTCAGTCTGTCAAGATCTTTCTGTGTCCTGATTCTGCCATGAAGCATATTGACTGTTTCTTTCAGCTTTGTGTCATCAGAAAATATGATTTCCAGTGATGACCATTATTTTCATGTCTTCAAGTCATTAATAAAAATGACGAACAGGAAAGAGCAGACAGCAGAATCTTGTAGCTGACTACTCACGCCTTTCCTCCTGGTTGATTGTAATGCTTTAATTAGGTACCGTTCAGTCACATAATTTTACTGGCACCTGGCTTATATTTTTTCATCTTTTCTTTAAGACCATTATGGCAAACCCTGTCAGATGCCTTGCTGATATCTAGGTAAATCATTTGCCTCATATTTCCTTCTTCTGTCTGCCTAGTAATCCTTTCATAGAAAGGAACAGGATTAATTGGACATGATGTATTTTGTGATCCATGAAATTTAACTAAACTATTTGGAGTAGGTGAAAGTGTTTGGCTTGGCATCACTAATATTCTACTCAGAGTACACCAATCAGGGAAGACTTACTAGAGGAGGTGGCATTTGAATGTGGGAGGATGGGCTGGATAAAGACAGAAGAAGACATTCATCCAAGTCTCCTCCCCCTGTTTTTTGTTTGCTTGTTTGTTTCTTCTGTTGATCTTTCAATATAACTCTCTCTTCAAACAAGTAGAAATTTTTAAGATATAACTGCTTTGTTAGAGATTTAAAAGGGACTGACTCCTGTCATCTTCATGAAATGAATTGAGACTAAAAGGTGAAAGTACTTCAGTGGTGACCTGGCATGGATGTATTGGATTTGGAGACCACTGAATACAGCACGAATGAAAGAGAACAGAGAGAACCCGGGGGGGTGGTGCTTACATTCACTCTGCTTCACACAATATTGGCCACACAACCCACGATACTCTAGCCCCATGGCTTCTGCTACTCAGTGCTGAGCTAAGATTCTTATAAAGACCATATGTTTTTGGTTTTGTTCTTTTAGTATAGTTGGCACACAGTTTGCGCTACTTTCAGGTATACAACATAGTGATTCAGTGTCCCCATACGGTGTGCTACCATCTGTCACCATACTACGTGATTATAATATCCTCGACTGTATTTCCTATGCTGTGCCTTTTATCCCCATGACTTATTCACCTCAAAGTCTGTTTAATCTTTTAGACAAAACTCTGAAAAATTGTATTTAACTTCTAAACTGATAAAACATTAAAGGAATTTCCCAAGGTGTAATGTAAGTTAAACGATCCTATTTATTTGTCCATTTCACAGTTTTAGTCCACTCTTTCCCCTCCCAAAGTGTCTGAGCTCATCCTTCAGATAGCAGCAGGGACTGTCCCTTGAGGAGAGTTAGTCTCTTAGGTGTCACTGTAGGAACATCTGGCTGTGGGGAGAAGAGAATCCAGGGCTGGGAGCATGATTAAGATTTGCTCACATGGAAGCCGTCCAATGCCTTGAAAGGCTTCTGTTGGTTTAGGTTCCCAGAGTGATTGGTCTCCCCTTTACAGCCCTATGATAGATGTCTTGTGTCGTAATTATAAGACATGCCACCCGAGTGGAGTATAGATGATCAGTCTTTTTTTCTATTTTTCTAGGAACAATTGATCATTCATATGTACAGGGCTATCAACTTCTGGGCTTTGAAAAGGGCAGTATTGATCATCTAAGTCACATAGATGGTATGCTTCTTTACTATACATAAATATGAGTTCCTTTCACGAGGCTACTGTGATTTTTCAGGGAAGGGGGAAGGAGTGATATTCATGTGAATTAAGCATTGGGGATTTCAACTAAAACACACTTAGATCTAGTCAGAATTTTGCAACTGGCAGCCATGCTTGAGATTAGCTAACTCACCCCCCTCCAATGTACATACGTACAATTTACTTTGCAGATGAGAAAACTTGAGTCCCTGTTAGTAGACATCAGTAGATAAAACATCTGTGCTTGCATTAAGGAGAAAAAAGGCTACATGTCAAATTATGTGCAATGGTTCTATCTGGGTAGAAAATTTTGAGCTATCGGGTGAATTTTTTCCTTCATATCTTTCTGTATTTTCCTTCATATTTTTCTGTGCTTCCTATAAAGCACATAATTACTTTTGCAATTGAACAAATGGTTGGTTTTAAACCCACTGTGAATACCATGTCATTTGGCTAGAGTTATAAAATGTCCTCGGTGCTTTGTCCTCGGTGACCCTCAAAGACCTCATTTTGGAAGAACCTGTTGAATCCAGACTGCAATTCAATCCTCTCTCCCTCTAGTCTTTGTGCATTAGTGACTGACTAGGACGCTCTCTCTGCTGCTCTCTCCCATGCCTCCCCTAAACACTTAAGAGTTTTTGGCCACTTCAGCCTTCGTTCTGAATGGCAGTTGGTGAAAGTGGACTACAAATCTATCTTCAGCCGGCGGTGCACTAAGGAGGACTATCAGACCTGGCACCTGCTCAATCAGGTACACCAGAGGGCAGGGGCACACTGGCTTCTAGGGGTAAGAGCTTCTACAAGCCCTGTTTGGTCATTTCTGGGCCTTCCTATTTGGAGGTGGAAAGTAACGAGCCATCCAAAGATAATAGTAGATTTGGGGGGAAGGGTTAGAGTCCACACATCCAGGTCCAGCATAGACGGATGGTATTTCAGGACCCCTTTTCACCCTTGGATCCCCATCTACCCATTGCAGTCACCAAATCACCTAGGAGTGAGGTGACAATGATAAGCTGGGGCTTTAGCTCTATCTGTGGAGAAATAAGCCCGGACAGCTGGGAGACCTTCTAGTAGTTTCACCATCTCACCTTTCAGTGGGAACGGTGAGAACATCTGTTAGGCCAGCCTCCGTAAGAGTCCCTGAAGCACTGGAAACAAGACCACAGAGAAAGGGTGAGGGATGGAAGTGAGTAGCTCTAGGAGTAGTAGATATTTGTAGCTATGCAACATAAGCAAAATTCTACATTCTCAGAACAATTGGGTTCATGTAATTTGTACCAGCTTCTCCTCTTTTTGCACTTGCTTGGGAATAAGGACTTGGGCATGGTTGTTTATGAGAGAGAGGGAACTTTTGGGACCAGCTTCAGTTTTACTCTGAAGATGGTGTGAAAACTATGCCGGAAGTAGGTTCTTTTCCACTAGAATTTATGCTGAGGTCATTTAGGTAATTTGGAGATCTGTGAGGATGGCTTAGAGCCTTTGCATTCTCTCTGAAGGTGGAAAAGAAACAAGAGGAAGTAGACATCATTGGCTAGGTCGGGTGAAGGGTAGTGATGGGACAGCTCCATGATCTTCCTCTTGTGTGGTAGTAGAAGACTGGCCCTTTTTCCCTTGAGACTCCTAAGTGGTTACTGGGAAAGAGATTGCTACACAGTGTAACTAAAAAAGAATGAAAAGACTAATGTTTCTTATAGAGAAGCTGGTTTATTTCATCTCCTTTGTGTTTTTCTGCCTCTCTCACTATGGACTTTCTTTCCAAGGGGGAGCCCTGTGTCATGGGAGAAAGGAAAATATTCAAGAAACGCAAGCCAGGAGCTCAGTGTGCCCTGGGCCGAGATTCCTCAGGGACGGTGGTCTCAGAACCCTGTGTCTGTGCCGACTGGGACTTTGAATGGTGAGTCTCTTGGCATCTCGTCAGTTTCAGCCAGACATTAACTTGTTGGGGGATGGAGATGAAGATGGAGGTTTGGGAGAAAGTCATGACCCAAAGGTGAAAGGTGTGTTTGCTGGCCTGTGGGTCTGATGGCTCCAGTTCCTGGGTCAGATAGGAAGTCCACATCCCTGGAAGGAGGACAGGAGGAGACATTTTCACAGGGAAGCTCACTGTACTATAAGAGCAGCATGTCCAAGGGATCCTTCTCATTTTCAGTTAGCAGCTGTGGGAAAGTACCAGAGAGGTTGGGTGGGCCACTGACAGAGTTCTGAGGGCTGCCGCAGACAGCTACCTTCAGACACATTAGCTCAAACAGTGATTTTTCCACGGGAACTCTCTCTCTTTTCATCATTTTCCCCTCTAATGACAACCACAAAGAACAACTAAATCTCACGTACTAACCAAAGATTCACAAATTTCCAAATTTACCTCCAGCTCTGACTTCACTGAGCTCTAGGATGGAGACATGTGTGTCCATGTTCGTACTCAGCCACCATGTCCCCTGGAATTTGCTAGTAGAGATTTCAGACTCGGTGTGGCCCAGGCGGAGATCTTCCTGAACCTTTACTATTGGGAGCAGTTTTTCAGCTCTTGTTTGGACCGGTTTTCCAAACTCTATAAAACACGCAGTTGCTAAAGTCAAGATCCCAGGACAGCTTGATTTTTCCCTCACCCTCAGGTTTAGGCCATCTGCAAGTCCTTTTGAGTCTTTATGTCCAGAAAACATTCATTCATTCATTCATTCATTCATTCATTCATATTTATTTATTTACTTGTGAGAGAGGGTGTGGGCAGGGAGAAGGGGTAGAAGGGACATGGAAAAGGAGAGAGAATCTCCAGTAGGCACCCTGCTGAGCGTGGAGCCCAAAGTGGGGCTTGACCCCACAATCCTGAGATCATGACCTGAACCAAAACCAAGAGTCAGACACTTAACTGACTGAGACCCCTCCCCCGCAAGGCATCCCCCCAGAACATATTTTAACCCAAAGCTCCTCTGGCCATATCTGCCGCAACCTGGACACTGCAACTGTCTGTGGTCTCTCTGTTTCCACCCTCATTGCCCTAAAACCTGTCCTCCTCACAGCAACCAAAATTAGACTGTAAAAACCCAAATCAGGTATTATCACTCCTACACTTAAAACATTCCAGTGGCTTCCACTCTTGCTTTACATATCATGCCATCTTCCTTCCTTGCCTTGCTCCACTCTAGCTGATGTGGCCTGCTATCATTGTGCCTTAATTTCTTACCATTCTCCCCTCATTCACCATTTTGCAGCCACATTACCATCTTCTTTCTGTATCTTAATTAATCCAGGCTCATTCCTAGCAGAGACGACAGCAACTATAAGGATTTCTTCCAGATCTCAGCAAGACTGGTGCCTCTGGATAGCTGAGATCTCGACAAAAATATCAGCTTCAGAAATGCTTTCTTTTTTTTTTAATTTATAAATTATTTTTATTAACATATAATGTATTATTTGGCCCAGGGGTACAGGTCTGTGAATCATCAGGCTTCCACACTTCTCAGCACTCACCATTTTCAGAAATGCTTTCTGAGACACCTGATCTCACCTACACCCTGTCACTCTGACACCTCACCCGATTTCATGGTCTCAGTGTTAATCATCATGTGGAGTGATCATGTTTCCTGATTGCTTTATTATCACCTGTCTTCCCCTGACAGAATGCAAGTGCCATGAGGGTGGGGACTCTAGCCTCACCCATAGTAGATTAAATAGTTGCACCATGTTCCTAAATGTTGTTCCTTTTAGGAGAGTCAGCAAATGTCCCAAGTCTGGGCATGGGTGATCCCCTTGGTGATCCCATTCTGATCCCAGCTGGGTGAATTCCTCCTCTACATCACAGTCAGAAGTTGAAATTCAATCTGCATATTTCCATAACCAGTTCCAGGTTAAAAGACAAAGCTAAGGGCTTGGACATCAGCATATAAACACAGCAGGGCAGTGACAGAGTTGCATTTGGGCTTTTCTGGTGTTGAAGGGCAGAAGTAAATCCAGATGGGTGCAGAACAGCTACTCCTACCCAGCAACCTCGTCCAGCTTGTTTCTGAAGCTTACTTTGTGCTGGAAGCCATCTTTGGTTCCCCACTTTCTACCAGGACCATAACTGGTCACTGCAAGCCAGCTAGAAGACTGTGGCTGCTCCCTAGCTGCTCTTCATCCCTGAACTCATGCCTTGGAAAGCTTGACCTCATTGAGAATCATTCCAATGGGATACACTAAATGGAATTTAATTTGAATGTCAGCGTCCTATCTGTGACACTTCTGACACTTTGGAGACAGAGGATGTTTTCACATTTGGGAAGACTACTTTTCAATTATTAACCACAATCCAGCAAAATTGTCATAGCAATATACACAGTAGGTCCCTGATAATTATGCTGCCTGACACATGGACGTCAGCTTGAATATTCAGAATATGAGTTTCAGTCTTCCTTGTGTCCCTTCTGTCCCTGTGCCTCCTGGAGGCACACTGTCTCCACATGCCATGCTACGTTTTCTCCTGTGTCTCTCTGAGCTGTAATAGATCCTCACCTGCTGTTGGGAAACCCCAGAATGGAGAAAGAAGAATTGTAACATATTTTTTTTCCAGGAATTCCATTAACATTTACTAGGAAAAAAAAAAAAAATCCCAGCTCTGATATTCACAGTTTTTGACCTTGGGAAATTTTCTTAATCTCTATGATTTCGCCTTCTTGGCTGTAAAGTACAAATACAGATCATGTATCCTACTGGTTGCTAGGGATCTCACTGGTTGCTAGGGAGGAGTCAGTGAATTAATCTACATCATTAATGTAGGTAAGGGGTCCCTCCTAGTGGTGTAAGCATCCATATGGTAGCTGTTGTTGCTGCTGTAGTTAATCTTGTACCCCAGAGTTAAGTGGTCCCCATGGTATTTTTACCAAGTAAACCAGAGCTTATAGATCCAAATGAGTTCTATCTACAAAGTAGTACCTTTGGGTGTCATCTATTCACTCATTATTGGCAGCATTGCTTAAAATATTTCTGAGCCCTTCCTTGGGAACTGCTATCAGAATGCATCTGTGAGGAGTGCCTGGTGGCTCACTTGGTTAAGCATCTGCCTTCAGCTCAGGTCATGATCCCAGGGTCCTGGGATCAAGCCCCACCTTGGGTTCCTTGCTCAGCAGGGAGTCTGCTTCTCCCTCTCCCTCTGTTGCTCCCCCTGCTTGTGCGCTCTCTCTCTCTCTCTCTCTCTCTGTGTCAAATAAATAAAATCTTTTTTTAAAAAAAGAATGCATCTGTGAGTAAAGCAGGAAAAAATAAAAAGGCTTTGCAAGGTACTCTTTGGTTCTCACACTTGTATTGGTAGAGGTACCAACTGGACCCAACACTCTGTAATATCAACATTGTTACTATGGCATTTTAATGAGAAGAAAAGGAGCATCTGGAATGAAAGTTACTTGGCTAAGATCGCCTAACAGAGAAATCTGGAGTTTGAATGCAAGTCTAGCTAAATCCTATGTTCTTTCTCATATATCATACTATTTCTTAAGAAATCAAACAAGTCTTTGTTATTAGAGTCACCTATGTTTCAGAGGAAACAGTTCCCAAAGTTTAGTTATTCTAAAGTTAAAATTCATCCTCAAATGACTTAGGTTAACTGCTATTGATACAGGTTAATCTGGAATATCCTGTTAACTTTAACACAATTTCAGATAAAGTAGTTTTGACCATTGGTATTGAAATTCTAATAGGCATATGGTGTTCAAGAAGACTTTATAGAATTTTGAGGGGAGGTGGTATTTGAAGTATTATGTGATAGGTAGCCTTTCTACTGTCAGTTGTATCTCATGAATGTAGAAGAAAATATGGAGGTTCCTAAAAAATTTTAAAAAATAGAATTACCGGGGTACCTGGGTGGCTCAGTGGGTTAAAGCCTCTGCCCTTGGCTCAGGTCATGGCCCCAGAGTCCTGGGATCGAGGCCCGCATCAGGCTCTCTGCTCAGCGGGGAGCCTGCTTCCCCCTCTCTCTCTGCCTGCCACTCTGCCTGCCTGTGATCTCCGTCTGTCAAATAAATAAAGTTTTAAAAAAAATAGAATTACTATATGATCCAATAATTTCACTACTGGATATATACCTGAAGAAAATAGATAGAAACACTAATTGAAAAATATATATATATATATACACACACACCCCTATGTTTATTACAGCATTATTTACAATAGCCAAATTATAGAAGCAGCTGAGATATGGCCATCAATAGCTGAATGGATAGAGAAGATAGGGGATATATATGGGATATATCTAGACCTATATATATCTGTCTATATAGATAGATAAAGGATATCTATATTTATAACAGACTACTACTCAGCCATAAAAAAGAATAAAATCTTGCCAGTTACAACAACATGGATGGACCTAGAAAGTATAATGCTAAGTGAAATAAGTCAGTCAGAAGAAGATAGATACCATGTGATTTCACTGATATGTGGACTCTAAGAAACAAAACAATGAACAAACAAGAAAAAAAAAGGCGCAACAGGACTCTTAAAAATAGAGAAAAAACTGGTGATTGCCAGAGGGGAGGTTGGTGGGGGGATGAGTGAAATAGATGATGGGGATTAAGAGTACACTTATCTTGTTGAGCCCTGAGAAGTATATAGAATTGAATCATTATATTGTATAACTGAAACTAATAGAACACTGTGTTAGTTTTACTTGAATAATAATAACAAAAAAGAACCACTTGAGTTGGAGGTAGGATAAACAAGCATAGAAGACTTGAGGCTGGGTTAGTGGTCAGAATCTGAGAGTAAGAGCAAAAAATAATCATGTGACCTAAAGAGTATTTTTGCACTACTTTAGAGTATGGAAGAGACAGTTTCATTTCTGAAATTTCTGTTGTCTTTCTATAGTGGTTTTTATAGACAATAGAACTGAATATTTAAGATTGTTTTGTTTTTAAGTGAACG